GTTGGAAATTCAGTAGAGGTGCGTGCGGATTGAGAAGTTAATATTTACTGCGTTTTCACCTCTGCATTCATGTATTGCATGAATGATGGGGTGAAGGGGTATTGTATTCAAATTGTGAAGCAAACATTGCTTTACGAAACTGCTTGAGTTCCAAATTTGTATTCAGATGGAAATCCCAATATCGCTTTCTGTGTCACACCGACGAGGAGATGACTACGTGCACTGTGATTTGGGAGCTATCGCTGATCCGAGATTTCTGTTAGAAGGAGGAAGAGATTACATACTCAGAGTAACAGTGAACCGGCCCGTGAAAGTGCATTTCCGACAGGAAGCTGCAAGGTGGAAAATCCTCGATGTGATGCCGGTTGGTGAGGTGGGTTACACTTTTGCATCACTTTACGCTGGTAACCCGAAAAACATTCGCTGCCTTGCTCAAAGAAGGCGGTCATGGCTGCATGACGTAGTTAAAGTGCATGCCTTTTCCGGATGGACAAAAGATTAGTTGGTCAAAGAATCTGGGATGGGCTAACTGTTTGGCAGCGCCACGCATCCAGTTCCCTTTTAGAGTCATGGCAAAACGAACAGGAAAGCATGAACGAATCCAATCCGATTTACGACAATCAGAAGCTTTCCCTATTTCAGCAAAATTCCTTGGACTAGAGAGGACGCGTTGGAGCTGAGTTTTGCGAACTAACCTGCCTAGTCATTGCTCCAGTGCAATGGAACATTGGGTCGCGCTGGGACTGACTGCCTCAAATGAGCGTCTGCGCTCTTTCAAGCAGCGCCACGTGGCAACCGACAGCGGAGGGTGGGGCTTGCGGACGAAGGTGTGAGTTGCGGGTCGGACGAGCTCCTTGCGCCTTTGTCGCGCACTTTCAAGCGGCAAAAGGGGTGCGACATCAACACTTGTCCGCCTGCCTACTACCCCGGGATGGAACAGGCGAGCGCGCCTAATCGCGGAGCGTGCCTTTAATCCTCTATTATGGCATGGGCGTTTGGAGTAAGGTCTAAGCCTATACTGCTAAGCTTAAAGCTTCGCGAATTGCTCAATTGTTCTGCGCCAGACGAGGATTGATAATTGGAACTTTATCAATAGGCCTGAATCTCTGACAATTTTGTTCTCTTCAGAGGAAAATGTCTCAAAGTGTTTGGTTTTGTAAGCTACTCGACAGACGCAAGGCTCGAGGCACACCCTCCCCCTAGCGGTTCCGACGTCGTACTGGGAACTCCTAGTTTCGAATCTTTCATTTTTGATTCGCGCCATCAGCTCTTGGTCATCGTGGGCCGAGGAAAGGAATCGGAACGTCTCCTTATACTAACGTACTATTTTGTTGACTGATTTTATTAGAACTGTGCCTCTAATTGTCCAAAATGTATGTTTAAATCTACCAAACGTACTTCCAGATTTTCAGTTTGTAATTCCAATGTGAACATTAAGCTAATTCTGAATGACATGGTTACGACATCATTCCCAATATTGCTTTGCAGACTCGAGCTGAGCCCTCACATAATATATTATTTTCAGAGCTGGGGTCCTCGTCACACTCGTAAAGAGCGAAGGCTAAGCGACCGCTACCGAGCTGTCGACCATCTGGTTCTATTCGGCGGCCGAATTCCACTGTGCCCAGATGGTTTGATCAGCCTGATACCAACAATGTAAAAGGAAGCTCCCCCAGAAGCGCAGCGTGTAGTACCAGCTTGTGCTCAGGGATCTACCACCGCAACAGCGAAACCGCTCGATACAACCGTGGATGACGACGTGCGACAAAGGGTCACTGATGTGTGTAATTCGACTATTTTTTTTACTCTGATTCCAGTAATATTTTCTTTTTATGTGAAGCAGAAGGTGCTAACTCAGTTGGGGGGGAGGGTAGCCCAAGCGGGGCGGCGCGGCGCTTCTCTTCGTCTGCTTGCGCTTAGTCCAGAGGCAGATTATCTATTATCGTCGCCACGTCGAAATACTGTCCATCGCGGACTAAAGCCTTGAGGACCGACGAACGAACGCCGCGCCGCCGCTGTGGGTCCCCATAAAAGTTAGTACAAGAAATGACTGTTACTCCCATTATTGCTCATACAGCTCTTATTTTTTTTTAAGTCTCCTGCATGGGTTCCGTCAATAGTATGTGGGTTTCCGCTGGAATTCTGCCACCAACATCCTTTTTGATTTCATTTAGAACCATTTGTGATCTCTCAAATATTCTTGAGACAATAGAGCTGAGCGAGTGGAAGAAAATTGCCATGTCCCCGCTATCCTCCCCACTTCAACCCCCCCCCCTCCCCCACCTCCCGCTCTTTTCCCAAATCTCCACTACAATTTTTATATTTTGCCATGGCGGTCTATGACCTTTCTTCAAGTCGTTGAAAACAACTCTAGGAGCAACCCTTCATGTATTTACATAGCGGGATCTTCTTTAGCGTTGTTAAAAAATAACCTCCAGGTTGCAATGGTTGAAACGTACAATAAGAAGAAGGGAAAATACCGTCTTTGGTTAACTCAATATCATACGGAAGCTGAGTTCTGCTCAAACCATGTTTTCAAAGCGGGACACTTCTTCCAAGGACGATTTTCCATTGGTGGGAAGCATAAGGTATGTTGTCATCAACAGTCAGTTATTGTTTCCAATTTTCACGCTCTTTTTAATTGTACTTGTTCAGAACAAGTGCCATGATTACCTCCAGGAGGTGCCCACTCCGGAAGGGGTCTCCGGCTATTATGACACGGAAGCGGAGGAGCTGGAGGTTTGTTGTATATTTATTTTGTCTCACATCCTAAATATAATACATGCAGTTTGATACTTAAACTATTTAAGGAATCTTCATGCTTTTTTTCGAGTGTTTTGAGTCCTTCAGTATTTTGGGGGGTGGGGGATACGAAGCAGTGAGGCATATCCTTAGCATTTGTCAAGCACGGCCTTATAAATTCACACATGAGGTACCACTGATTAGAGCACGAAATGGAATTCTTAACCTCTTGAGAATTTTCCCCTGTTTTGGTAGCGCGTATAGTTGTGTAAGGGGAAGGTCGAGGAAGGTCTATAGATCAGCTCCTGGATTGAGTACTGTTGATGTTAACCTTGCTGGTAATAAATTCTGGATTAACTCTTGTTCGGTCATACTTGCATTGAAAAGCCATGGGTACATGTCAGCTGAGCGTGACCTATGAGCCCGCTACTCGCTGCGCACCAGTTCATAACGTAGC